TATATACATACATATATACATATATATATATATATATGTATGTATATATACATATATGTATGTATATATATATATATGTATGTATATATATATATATATATGTATGTATATATATATATATGTATGTATATATATATATATATATGTATATATATATATATATGTATATATATATATATATGTATATATATATATATATATATATATATATATATACATCTTCCACCTGTAAAAGATTGGGAATCGAACTTCCACAGGACTGTGGTTCAGTTTTTGTATGTTATTAAAAGGCCTGCATGTGATATTTTTGTTGTAAATGAAGTCCTAACTAATTTGTAATTGTAACGCAGCAGGAGATTAATTTATGCAACAAAGAATGTTCAAATGGAACATACTTGATGGTTGGCTGTAAACATTCTGCTCTGGAGTAATAACAGCTATTTCATGAATCTATCTGGAAAATTGAGGCCCTGCTGCATGTGATACAAAACTCTAGGAAGCACTCTCACTTTGGAGGTCAATTGGAGCAGGCAGATGTATGATTTGTTTTTGTTACAGAAGCCCTGAAACTTATTTGTTGATGTTTTACCTGATCCATTCATATTGTTTCAAGCTACACTGCCTGATGTATCAATTGCATAAACAATGAATCAGGTCAGTCACAGTTCATCAAATGTTGACCAGCCTTCTTGTGGTAGATTCTGCTATTTTGCTGCTGAGATGTGTTGCGTTAGCTACGTTCATGAGAACTGACACAACAATAGAAATCAAGCACAATAATAATAGTGGATCATGTACTTTGCTATCGTCATCTTAATTTGTAGGTATAACGCTGCCAATCCAAGAAAACAGCCGTCCTTAAAACTACAATTCATGGAGTCAACTTTCTGCAAATTTTATTTGACTTATCTCTCCATATACTCAAATTCAAACCCTATTAAAATCGAATGTAACTTAATATTCGATAACATTATTACGATATCTTCACATCAGTAAAGCTTGAGGGACTTCATTTGGGATTTGCCACTCAGGCCTCTCTTCCTCACATACATCCTGTACTCGTTGAAGGTGATGCATGGATACAGTGGAGGCAGCTGCGGCGTGAGAAGCTCTGGCGCAGGTCCGATGGCCACATCTCCCTCTGGATTGTAGAAGAAAGCAATGGAGAGTCGCTCGTCTTTTGAGTTAGCTATCACCCGATGGTCCACACTCTTGTAGATCCCATTGCTTATCACCTGTTGAGCAAAACGAACACGATGATCTCAAATCCTGGAGTATGACTGAAGTCGATCATCGTCTTCAGATGGCATGGCGAGGGGGATGTATGATATGATTCAAGTATGGTGTAATGTTAGGAAAGAGAGGAGTTGATGCAAGTCAACTTCGTTGAGTATTGCAAACAGTGTGTCGGCCACATTTCGAAGGAACCAATGAAGCATCGGAGCTATCAGTTCCAACTTTCGTGCCCAAAGTTTTCGTGCTTTCTTGCTTCGTGCTCACGTACGTCATGCATGCAAATCGTAGTGGGGGATTGGAAGCAGATGACCTCGATCTGGTCGGCGACGTTGACGATGAAGGCGCCGGGGACAGGCCGGACGGTGAGCCACGCGCCGTCCTTGCGAACTTGGAGCCCCTCGACGTGGTCGTCGGCGAGGAGCACCGTCAGGCCTCCGGGATCGGAGTGCGGGGAGAGGCCGAGGGTGAGCTCCGGCTGCGGGCATTTGGGATATAGGTTCACTCTCACGCATGAGGCGGTGCCGTCGCCGCCGAACGCCCTCCGGAAGTACTCCTCGTCCAAACCTAAGCCCATCGACAGCACCCTCAGCAGCACCCCGCAAAGCTTGAACACCTCGCCGCCGTACTCCTCGGTGACCTTCCTGCTCCCACGCAATCATCAGACAAGAAGCTAAATCTCAAGCTAATGCGGTGGTAGCTACACACCTCAGGGTGCTCGGACGAGCCGGCCAGTGTCGGTCATGGCTCTTGATGGACAGGGGAAGGAGATGAAGGAAATAGTAATCTCCCCAATCTAAAACAGCGCCCTTCTCGACGCCGACGCGGCTGCCGTACCCCTCGTAGGTCGCCGGGGAGTTGGCATACCTCTGCTTCTCATCCAAGGGACGGCGGAAGAACTCCCTCCACACACCCTTCATCTCTTCCACCAGATCCGGCCTCACGCCGTGGTTGATCACCTGGAAGAAGCCCCACTCCTTGCATGCGTCCCAGATCGCCACCATGGCGGCTCGGCTATCCACCGACCCGTCGTAGATGCCACGCAGATCGACGACCGGCATGGTGAGCCCCCGGTCAAGATTGGCCTCGAGAGAGGGCCGATCGGATGGCGGTTTCACGTACTTCTCGGGGATAGAGGTCAGGCCGCCGTCCGACAAGGACTGGACGGGGACGACCGGCTCAGGCCACTGTCGGAGGTCATCCATGTTGAAGGTGGGCTGCACAGGGATTAAGGTTTCCAGGTGGTGAGAGGACGATGCACCCTGTTCAGCCTTTTATAGCATGTGGAGGGAGCCGAACCTGGCGATACTGCAATCCCTTCTTACCTTCCTACTACTGACAGTTGTCTAAAGTTGCAGGCGTTCAATTCGTAGTGTTGTTATAAGGTAAGAGAGGGATGTAACGGCGAATGCACATATTCGGCATGAGTTCTTGACGTGAGAATGACCAATGCGTAGCATATCAATTCCTTGCTTTGCCAACGTGAATTCAAAGCTGAAATCTGTGTATTACCAATCCAACTCAAACGGGTTGGATACACATATATCTGAGGGACAATGCTTTGCATCCAAATTCGACTAACCACGATTCATCTATCTATCCGCAATGATGCTCTTTTGAATCTGATATTTGTCGTTTGTTTCTCGGCGATTCTCACTCATACTTCCAATGAACAAACAACCAAGGAAAGATGCGCCGCCGTAGAGGAGGAAGAGACAGAGAGATTCTTTCCTCGTCAAATGAGAGAGAGAGACGGGGGCGAGGATGCCGACGTCTGCTGCGAACATATATGTCTACGTGAAGAGTTCATACACTCCATGGGGACTAATTCATGTCTATCTCCGGCCTTCGTCTTTTCTTTGACATTATGTTTTCAGCCATGTGAGGAATCAACGAGGATTACAGAGCTGAAGAACCGAATTAGAGTCCATTCCCGTGTCGCTTTCTCCGACTCCACTCTCGTCTTCCACGGACTGATTCCTGCTCCGAGTTCCAAGGTTTCCAAGTCCATCACGCATGGGCTGCAACCGCGGATTGCGATTCGACTCGATGATCGCAATGGGATAGTCCTACTTACATGGGAAAGGAATCGATGGACGTCTTCACATAGCAGCAATGGAACCTGGAAACCTCTCCTTCGCCATGGATCGATTGTAACCGTTCATTAAGATTAATAATTCATGATAATGAATTTCTTCATTTATAATAGTTTAAATATTTCAGTTTTTTATTCATTATAAATGAAACCGTTATTTATTTAATATCATTAAAATTCTTCGTTATGATTCAAACGTTACAAATTTGAATTAATTATTGAACGTTATGAGTTGGTGATAATAAATGTTCTTGATGGGAGAACATCTATATAAACGAGGATTTTGGTCCATAGGCTCAACATCATCTCTTTGAAGTCAAAAGGATTTCATATACCATCTAAAACGAGAGTTCTGAGCCGAGAAGTGTCAAAGTTCAAGAAGAAACCGCTACAGAAATTCTTGACAATAATGGTTGGAGATATGCTATTTCGTTTCCACATTAGTTTTATTGTGTTTCTATTATAATGATTTAGAAAACAGGTATCAAATATTTTAACAGTTGGTATAGAGCAAATTGACCTTTGCCTTTAACTGAAAGAGTTTTCATTTTTTATACCATGAATATAGCTTTATTTTGTTTTTTTAACTTCTTGATATATTTCTTGCTGAAAATCATGAGAATATAACTTTTAAATATTTGGAGTTAGTAAAATGCTTATTATATATGCATATTTGGTTATATTAATTTATACTTATGAGTCAATTTTATATGTCTAAAATGTCTAGTGATCAATATAATCTTAATTAATTAGGAATTAACCACATCATTCTTAATTAATTAAAATTATATATAAAGTTAAAATAAGGATCACATAAGTAATTCGACATTATATTGTGACTAATTATATTTAATATAATAATTATTATCTCACATGATCTTTTATTATATTCAATATAATTAATCAAGATAAAATATCGGATTATTTTCATAATTTATCCGTATGGATTATAAATTGGAATATAATTTGATAGTTTTATCATAAAGACCATTTGAATTTATGTGAATTAAGAATTTAGCCCACAAGCAATTTTATGTCATGAGATTCATATTTTTTGGCGTGTTTCGGTAAAACATGTAATTTAAACTATTAAGCTTCAAATTTTGACATAAGCGTGTTTGATTTTATGCAGTTTCTCAAACTGTTAATTTCTCTAATATTCGATGTGATATTCCTGAACTTAGGGGTGATAACTATAAAATATAGAAGGAGAGGGTCCTCAATTTAGGGTGGATGGATATTGATTATGCTATTAGGAAAGACGAATCATCTACAGTCACTAATACTAGCACTCCAACTGAGGTCGCGTTATATGAGTGATGGGAGTGATCCAATCGGTTCAGCGTGATGTTTATCAAAACTAAGATAATTGTTGGTATACGTGGTTCTATTGACCAACATGAAAATGTCCGAGACTTGCTACAAGCTATTGATGAGGAATTCGTCACTTCAGAAAAAAAGCACTAGCAAGTACCCTAATAATGAAATTTTCATCCCTTAGACTCACCAGCGTAAAGGGTGTGTGTGAGCATATAATGCAAATGCGAGATATTGCGGCTCAACTTAAGAAACTAGAGGTTAATATGTCATAATTTTTCCTGATGCACTATATTCTGAACACCCTTCCACATCAAAATGGGTATTTTAAGATTTCATACAATACACATAAGGACAAATGGTTAATCAATGAATTAATGACTATGTGTGTTCAAGAAGAAGAGAGGCTAGTGATGGAACTGGGTGAGAGTGCATTGGTGGTAACCACTCGCAGCAAGAACAAAACTGATAAAAATCAAGTCAATCAGAATGCTCATTAATAGAGAAAAGGTAAAATATAACCCCAAGTTGATATCAAGAAAGAAGCAAAGTGTTTCTTTTATAAAAGGAAGGGACGCACGAAAAAGGAATGCACGAAATTCCAACAATGGCTTGAAAAGAAAGGTAAACTAACCTCGTTTGTGTGTTATGAATCTAATATGGTTAATATTAATATTAACACCGGGTGGATTGACTCTGGATCAACAATCCATATTGCAAACTCTTTGTAGGGCATGCAAAACCTAAGGAAGCTAGTATTAAGTGAGCAAAGCATCTTATTAGGAAATAAGATGGGCTCACATGCGGAGGCAATCGAAACATGCATTTTAACTTTAAGTAGTGGTTTTATTTTAAAATTGAAAAGGACCTTTTATGTACCAAGTTTCTCACGAAACTTAATTTCTGTTTTCAGACTCATACCATTTGGGTATTCCTTTAATTTTAAAGATACATCATTTCGTTTATTATATAAATCTGATTGTATTGGGAAAGATATTTTGTCTGATGGTCTTTACCATATTTTATTACAAAATGATGATACTCAAAGTTCAATGCATGCTCACGCTTCCATAGAGAGAATTAAGAGATTAGTTAATGATGAGATACTTAATATTCTTGATTTTACTAATTTTAAGACTTGTGTGGACTGTATTAAGGGAAAACAAACCAATAAGTCCAAAAAGATGCTAATAGGAGTTTAAATATATTAGATATTATTCATATTGATATATATTATCCAGACATGGATATACATTGTCAGAAATACTTCATCTCCTTTATAGATGATTACTCACGATATACGTATATATATTTACTTCATAATAAAAATGAAGCATTGGATGCCTTCAAAGTCTTTAAAGTTGAAGTTGAGAACCAATGCGGTAAGCAAATTAAAATTGTGAGATCAAATAGACATGGAGAATATTATGATAGATATACTAAAAATGGACAAGCGCCTGATCCTTTTACTAAGTTTCTTCAAGACCATGGGATTGTTGCCCAATATACTATGCCTGATTCTCTAGACCAGAATGGTGTTGTAGAAAAAAGAAACCGAATATTATTAAACATGGTGCAGAGTATGCTTAGCAACTCCAATCTTCCTATGTTCTTGTGGACTGAAGCACTAAAGACGGCTGTGTATATATTAAACTGAGTTCTAACTAAGGCTGTCAAAAAGACACCATTTGAATTATGGAAAGGTTGGAAACTGAGTTTACGACATATGCGTGTTTGGGGATGTTCGTCTAAGGTCAGGATATATAATCCATAAGAGAAGAAACTATACCCAAGGACTATTAGTGGGTATTTCATTACATATACCGAAAAATCTGAAGGTTATAAGTTCTATTGTCCATCTTACACAACTATGATTGTGGAATAAAGAAACGCTAAATTTCTTGAGGATGATGTGATTAGTGGGAGCGATCATTTCATGAACATAGTTTCTGCACATGATCATATAGAATCTCAATCTTCTACATCAAATGATAAATTAGTTATAGTTTATAGCACTCATCAAGTATAAACTAGTGCTGAACAACAAATCATTGGAATTCCATAAGTTACTGATAGTATTCTAATAGATCAAGCAGTTCAGGAATTATAACAAGCTCCTGAATAACTAGTTAAACCACAAGTTCCTTACGGAAACATTGGTATAACATTAAGAAGATCTACTAGAAATAAAAGATCAACAATTCCTAGTGATTATGTTGTATATCTACAAGAATCTGACTATAATATTGGAGCTAAAAATGATCCTGAAATATTTTCATAAGCCATGAGTTGCAAAGAGTCAAATTTGTGACTTGATGCAATTAAAGAAGAGATGAATTCCATGATGAGCAATGAAGTTTGGGATCTTGTAGAGTTGCCTAATAAAGCAAAGGCTATTGGTTGCAAATGAGTTTTAAAACTAAGAAAGATTCATTATGCAATATTGAGAGATACAAAACAAGACTTGTTGCAAAGGGATTTACTCAAAAAGAGGGAATCGATTATGCGGAGACGTTTTCTCCTATATCTAAGAAAGATTCTCTTCGTATCATTTTGGCATTGGTTACTCATTTTGACCTTGAGTTACAACAAATGGATGTGAAAATGATATCTCTTAATGGAGATCTGGAGAAAGAGGTTTATATGAAATAACCTGAAGGTTTCTCCTTTAGTGTTGGTAAACACTTGGTTTGCAAGCTTAAGAAGTCTATATACAGTTTAAAATAAGCCTCCTACAAATGATATTTTAAATTCTATGAAGTGATTTCTTCATTTGGATTTATTGAAAATCCCATGGATCAATGCATATACTAGAAGGT